ATTGTTAGTGTGTGGGAGTGAGTTGTTAGTGTGTGGAGTGAGTTGTTGGTGTGTGGAGTGAGTTGTTGGTGTGTGGAATGAGTTGTTGGTGTGTAGGAGTGAGTTGTTGGTGTGTAGGAGTGAGTTGTTGGTGTGTGGGAGTGAGTTGGTGGTGTGTGGGAGTGAGTTTGAGTGTGGGAGTGCGTTGTTGGTGTGTGAAAGTGACTTGTTGGAGTGTGGGAGTGAATTGTTCGAGTGTGGGAGTGAGTCTGAGTGTGGGAGTACTGGAACAATGTACTCACACAGCCTGGAACTGCAATCTTCTCAACAGAGTATTGAACTCAGGAGCTATAGCGCACACACAGACACACACACACACACACACACACACACACACACACACACACACACACACACACAAACATACACACACACTAACATACACACACACATACACACACACACACACACACACACACACATACACACACACACACACAAACACACACACACACTCAACATACACACACACATACACACACACACACCACACACCACACTCACATACACACACACATACACACACACACACACACACACACACACACATACACACACACATCACACCACACACACACACACACACACACACACACACACACCACACACACACACACTCACACAACACACACACACACACACTACATACACACACACACATACACACACAACACACACACACACACATACACACACACATACACACACACACACACACACATACACACACACACACACACACACACACACACACACAACACACACACACACACACACACACACACACACACAACACACACACACACCACACACACACATACACATCACCACTGTTATACACTGCCCAGCTCAACATACACTGTCCAGCTCAACATACACTGTTATACACTGCCCAGCTCAACATACACTGTCCAGCTCAACATACGCTGTTATACACTGTCCAGCTCAACATACACTGTCCAGCTCAACATACACTGTTATACACTGCCCAGCTCAACATAATGTACACTGTCCAGCTCAACATACGACTGTTATACACTGCCCAGCTCAACATACACTGTTATACACTGCCAGCTCAACATACCTGTTATATACACTGCTCCAGCTCAACATACACTGTTATACACTGTCCAGCTCAACATAACACTGTTATACACTGCCCAGCTCAACATACACTGTTATACACTGCCCAGCTCAACAATACACTGTTATACACTGCCCAGCTCAACAACCTGTTATACACTGCCCAGCTCAACATACACTGTTATACACTGCCCAGCTCAACATAACACTGTTATACACTGCCCAGCTCAACATACACTGTTATACACTGTCCAGCTCAACATACACTGTTATACACTGTCCAGCTCAACATACACTGTTATACACTGTCCAGCTCAACATACACTGTTATACACTGTCCAGCTCAACATACACTGTTATACACTGCCCAGCTCAACATACACTGTTATACACTGTCCAGCTCAACATACACTGTCCAGCTCAACATACACTGTTATACACTGCCCAGCTCAACATACACTGTTATACACTGTCCAGCTCAACATACACTGTCCAGTTCAACATACACTGTTATACACTGTCCAGCTCAACATACACTGTCCAGCTCAACATACACTGTTATACACTGCCCAGCTCAACATACACTGTCCAGCTCAACATACACTGTTATACACTGCCCAGCTCAACATACACTGTTATGCACTGCCCAGCTCAACATACACTGTTATACACTGCCCAGCTCAACATACACTGTTATACACTGCCAAGCTCAACATACACAGTTATACACTGCCCAGCTCAACATACACAGTTATACACTGCCCAGTTCAACATACACTGTTATACACTGCCCAGCTCAACAAACACTGCCCAGCTCAACATACACTGTTATACACTGCCCAGCTCAACATACACTGTTATACACTGCCTAGCTCAACAAACACTGTTATACACTGTCCAGCTCAACATACACTGTTATACACTGCCCAGCTCAACATACACTGTTATACACTGCCCAGCTCAACAAACACTGTTATACACTGCCCAGCTCAACATACACTGTTATACACTGCCCAGCTCAACATACACTGTTATACACTGTCCAGCTCAACATACACTGTTATACACTGCCCAGCTCAACATACACTGTTATACACTGCCCAGCTCAACATACACTGTTATACACTGCCCAGCTCAACATACACTGTTATACACTGCCCAGCTCAACATACACTGTTATACACTGCCCAGCTCAACATACACTGTTATACACTGCCCAGCTCAACAAACACTGTTATACACTGTCCAGCTCAACATACACTGTTATACACTGCCCAGCTCAACATACACTGTTATACACTGCCCCGCTCAACATACACTGTTATACACTGCCCAGCTCAACATACACTGTTATACACTGCCCAGCTCAACATACACT